GATTTATCCTCATATCGCATCAAGTCCTCATCAGTACAGCGGTAACGGGACAAATTTTGCATTTTAAGCTATACCACGAAGTATTAAGTTAATAGGATAAAGTCAGCTTCGGGACGTGATAACAGTATGAATTTGCCGGTGGTATCATTCATTCGCGTTTCATCCTACTCCAGGTTCTCCAAGCGAAATTGCGAAGTACCTATACGGGTTCAAGGCGAGCAATCTTTACCTGTCATAAAGTCGCGATAATCGGCTGTTTCGGAAAGAATAAATGCAATAAATTTCAAGCAACGAACACAGCATTGTGAAGCGCACCAAAGAAAATGACCATGATGAAGCGAATGCCAATCTTAACAAGACGAAGTTAACAAAATCCTGAGTTACCTTTCTTGCAAATGTGTTATGAACTGCTGAAAACGGGCTTCAATCAAATGATGAGAATATCCAGGTGCAAGAAAGAATTCCAAATTAGAAGAAACAATGATCCGCACCTTGTGGTATATATTACTCCATCAGCTATTCACTTGCGCAATCACATGATGTATGTGATTCATTTTATGCTGGCATGATTTGTGTTTTGGTGAACGCGGCCACCAAGGGTGGACCAATTTTGAAGATGAGAGGGTGGCAGCACTGAAGAAAAAGGGTTGACTTTCGGTCACCCCAGCACTTCTCGTTAACTATGCACCCGTAATTTCTGCTTTGGTGCTCACAGACTCACAAACAAGATCTTTCTGTGACATGGCTTTTGCGCTGTATCAGTGCTGAGCACGGGAAGAAACTCACAATCGTGCCATTGCTCTTGGCGAACCCAACTGAAGAAGCACTGCAATTTTGCAGCACATCGTGATGCAGTAAGCGACAAGGATATTCAGTGAATACCACTTGAAAGTTTCGCGTCGAATTTTGAATATACCGAGCAGAATAACATACAGGCCGCAGACTATCCCAGCTGCACAAATGAATAACTGCACGTTACACATGAGATAATCGACAGCCCTGGAGAGAGTAATATCGTATTTTTTCGATTTTTGACGATTATTTAGCGCAGACTTTCAACGAGGTGTTTTTAATGAAACCATCAAAAAAGTTTCAGCTGTTTTGATTGTGAAAGATAAATTGTGTGTTTCATAAAACGCATATTGTGGGAACTCTGTCTGTGCGCGTGTAAGTGTGTTTATGTGTGTCTTCTGAATGCTTTTCATCCGGAGTTTCAACTCGGGCAGCACAAAAGCTAAGAAGCTTAAATTTTAGGAGAATGTTCCTTGTCCGCGTAAAACCCCGTAAAATTGGGTTCAACATCGTAAACATAGGCCTTGCATGTGGGCACATGAAATTTTTTTAACACAAAAACCATTAATTCAGGCGACAGAAAAGCTAAGAAGTTGAAATCTCACAATGCTTCCCAGCTAATTGTAGCATGCAAGTAATGTTAAGAAAGTTCAGTCCCGGGTGTGCCTAGATCTCACACTCAGGCGCGTGAAAGCAAGCACAGTTATCATGATTTTTTCAATGAATAATTTCATTGAAGATGCAAATTTTACAACGAATAGAATATTGAGGGAGAAGAGAAAATCCCGCGGGATACTTTCCAGTGCAAACTGGAAATTATCCCGCCGGAATTTTAAAGTGTCCGTATCGCGACATATAAACATACCTCAGAGTTACAAATAAAGGTACTGGAAAGCATATTGCTAGAGAACACTCTGCCAAAATTAGAGCTCCTTAACTTTGCTAGCTCCTGAGTAAGTAATTTCTTGCCAAAACTTTCATGTGTCCATATGCGTTGGATTACGCTCCTGGAGCAGCTTTTGGCTAGAGACCCACTGGCAAAATTTTGGCATTTATGCTCACCTGGTTGCCGAGCTGAAATATTAAGACATAAACAAACACACGCACACTTGCGCTAGCATGTACACTGATACACAATGAATCGTCATAGCTGTGAGCTTCTGCATTTGCATAAATATACAGAAACTACATAAATATACAGTATTTGCATACATATGCAGGAACTTACAGAAATGAAAAGCAAGGGCCGTGAGAGTGCAGCATGGAATTGGTGAGGAAAGAAATCCCAGTTATTGCATCTTTATGAATTTGTTATTATATGAAATGTTTTTAGGCTAGCAGTTTAATTAGCCTGTGATTGGCCACTTTGGGACTAGAGAGTGCGTCAGTTCTAACGTGCTGAAATGAACGATTATAACTTATCTCCTCTCTGTTAAAACGAATGTAAAATCCTACGGATTTTGCATCCGTTTTAATAGAAGGGAGATAGGTTATAATTGCTAAGCAGTTCCGGAAAAAGAGGCGAATTAAAATATTTGTTAGCGGGAAAAAATTGTGACTCGTCTGCAATTAAATTGTTAATGACATTTCTCTAACAATCAAGTCTTTCTTTATTTCTGAATGCTATTATCTAACTTTTGACTTAATAATCACTGCCATTCTGATGCAGTGCGAATCATGTGTAAGCATTAG